CCTGTGAGCACTCTCAAGACGAACCAGTCCATAATCTTCCCCATGTTAGATTTACAAATAATCTTCCCATATGTTAGATTTACATCTAACATAGTTATACTCTACACCATTGTTTTTCTTATGTTTTCAGAAAAAATACAAAATGTTAAAGGAGGCTGTTTTAGTTCCAAACCTGACAAATATTCAGCTCAGACAAACTATTACGTGAGCATTCCCAAAACATTCACTGATATTACTTGAACGCAGAAATTTAACCTATGAAATGTAAATATTTGCAGGCTGTCAAGGGAAAGGTCTGCGTTCATGTTTAAGTTTTCACGATATTCTTACTCCTGTATCTTACTTATAGATCTATATTTATTACTTATTTTAGAAAAAGTACTATGTAGTACTTATTCTCACAACATATATTGTTATACAACCTGTCACAAAAAACATGTCAGTCTGCAAGAACATCTGAATCAAGTGACTGCGAAACTAGTCTGAAAGATTTTGGATCAGTCTGAAATACTTACTGTTGCTGGGGAGGCCCGCGTTGTATGAGTCACTGAATGACCAGAATTTTCCATTGAATTGCCAATCAGATAGGTCCCTCCTGAGCTGCTAATCAGTTGTCCTCCTGTGACACCCATCTGAATCCCTCCAGTGCCCACCATGCTATGAGATGAGACCACTGTTGTCACCTGTGCAGAACTTCCTTGAGTATCAAAATAATTTCCCCCAGTGTTTTGGCTGTACATCTGGGTTTCTGTGTAAGGATAAGTTGTTGATCGGCTTCAAGAAAAGAAAACAAAAGGAAAAGATATTATTTATATTGTTCCTTTAGCTGAGGGAAATGTTATAATTCTAGAAATCTAAGTACAATAGTTATAACCAAATCAAATAAGATTGGCAAACAATCCCTGCCTCCTGGGAGAATAATTTAATTTATTATGTTAAGAAACATTTAATCAAGTCAAAACACTAAATACCAAATTCAGTGATAACGTTAAACCAAGTATCCACCAAGCCTTACATAAAAATTTGTCAGTCTTATGTGAAGAGGAGGAGAGAAGGGAAGTATGACAAAAATTGAGGAGACAGACAGAAAGAGATCATCCAATTATTAATATATTACAAAGCAATTTATAAAGCTCCATCTGTTTTAACTTCTTTTAATCTGACAATAAAATTTTGAATTTTAGTCAGACATTAAATATTTTGCATACGGTACATGTTGCAAAATTGCAAACAATTCATACAAATGTCAACTAAGAGAGTCCAGTGTTCAATAGTCCTATGTTATATATTGTTTTTAAATTCATTAAAGTTCTTGGCTGAAGCTTGCAATCAGAATTCACTGGTATTTGGGGAAATGCAGTTATTTTTACAGAGTGGATTCAAAATTGGACACAAATTCATGTTATGATGAAAAAACTGCATTTGAGAAGTAAAACCAGAACAGAACAAAGACTTGTAAAAAGGTCACAAAGGTGAACGAAGTTAAAAGTATGCAATAGCAACATTTTTGAAATCACTTTCAACTATAAAACATTCATGCCTTATTAATCAGTTTACACTAACAAACTATTTAGCTACTGAAATATTCTATCATATGTTTCACGTTCTTAACTTATTTTGAATCATTACCCCTTATAGGTTAATACATTTATAGATTTGAATATTTATTTGTTCCTATGTACTAAATTTGAATTTCAAATTAAAATATTTCAAAATTGTTAACTAAACAGCATGTATTATTTCAAAGGTCAGATTCCTCATTTTGGGAAAGTCTATTTGGAAATTTTATCCTGTATTTGGAAATTTTATCCTGTTTCGTGACTGCCAAGCTTTGTATCTTGGCAAGCATGATAATAGAAATGTCAAAAGGTAAAAATCAGTCAGTTTATCCAACCATTAATTTTCTTATTTAGTATATTTTCATGCTTAAGAAATGCTGTCATATTGCCTGTAGTCAACAGGCAACATCATTTTGAAATTCAAAGTTCTCCGTTAACTTGGAGTTGCACAGTAGCCAAAATAAATAAATTTTACATGTATTTTAGAGTATGATTCAGAGAAAACAGAGATGACAAATCTCTGCTTAAGTCTCCAGTTTGCTCAGTATAATCAAACAAGACATGAAATCATGTAACACCATGCAACTAAATGAGTTCAACAAAAAAATTCAGACACTTTTGTCTAAAAAATACAACAAGAAGAAGCAGCAGCATCCACATTTTATGCAGTAAATCATTGATTAATAGACCAATCCAGGAACTTGAAGTCAGGTGCCTTTTTCTTCCCCTTTATCTAGCCAGGGATTAGTTTCTTATCAATACATAGAAAAGGTCATGGTGAGTTACAGTTTGTTTTTGTTTTTGTTTTTTTTTAAGTATGAAAATGTACACAAGATTAATTAATTAGGAAACAATGGATTCAGAGATAATGATTTCTCCTCTAGCTTCAGAAAACCATTACTTTTAAACAGCTGAAGAACATAAGGCACCTTATCAACAATCGAAGTCAGAACTTTTGTTGTATTAACTATGGCTACAATAGTTTCTCTCTCCTCTTCAGACACTTTCAGAAACTCCAAAACTTTAGTTTTAAAATCCTAAATGTTTCATAAGCCTCATACTACATTATTTAGTCTCACCCCTCTGTAAGCTACTGAAACATTTTCCTTTTTATTTTTAGTATTTCAAAAGCCTCAAGATCAGCTGCAACAAATTTGAAGTTGATCTAAAAGAAATGCCTTGCAATCTGCTGAAAACAAAGCAAATTAGCTCATTTAGGGACTAATGCTCACATGGACAGTTAATCTATTAACATTTCTTTTGGATAGTTAACATCAGTTGATGTTTGCATTGTAATAACCTATATATGTGTTTAGGTACCGCGCAGGTCCCAAATCATCTGTTTTATCAAGCCAACGTATCATTGTGATACCTTGTGATATCATCGTGCTATTGCTTATCTTGTGATAAGCAGGACAATCACTAGCAGAGTTGGTGTTGCATCTGTGTGAGCAATGCTATGCAGCAGAGGACAATTTAGGAAAATGTAGCTATGTAAGAGAAAAGAAAGACTTGGTATAGATATAAGATACCAGTTAGGAAAGAAATGAAAGGATAATGCCATTGTTGACAGTAGAAATGGACACAGCTAGAGGAAAAATGACTGTCCAGAAAATGTGTGGAGAACAAATCTCACTTGCAAGTGGAATTGAAGAGGCAGTTCTTTGAAGCAATGCAAACCCCAGATATCAAAATTTCACAGGAATATTAAGTCACAGACTTGGTATGGAATAGGGAGAGAAAAACAAATGCTTATTTGCTTTTATCTTGTTTAGTTTATGTATATCATGTATAGTCGCTAAATAAGGACGGATTCTTTCAGAACACCTACTTCTGTAGGTGCTTGTAACTGTATTCCATATCAATGGATCAAGAGCAATCACTGGGGTACACCAATGGGTCACATTCCAAGATAAACACATTCCTCCCTTTGTTCCAACAACCAGCAGGTTCTTCTAGAACATCTGATTATTGGAGATCATTAAGCAAATCTTTAGCAATAAAGATCAACAGGTTAGTTAGTAGTGAGATAAACCCATTATTATTAATATGCAATAATAATTGCAACTTAGCAAAGAGCCTTTTAGCTTAACCAAAATACAAACTAATTCATCTGGAAATTAAAATACAGCTGGAAGAGATGATGTTTTGGAAAGCAGTGAGTGACTCAAAGGTCACTGCATATGGTAACATACAATACTTTCTCAAATAATCTGACATATATGATATAGTCAGTTCCTTCCCATTGCAAAGGTTGTAAAAGCACTCCTAGCTCTTTTATCCTTCAACAGTTGCATACAAAGATTATCTAGGGACTAACCTCAGTGCCACTGAAGTCTTCTGGATCTTTATGAGAACATCTTGGTCATATACTGTGGCTTGAGATAGGAGCTATTAGATTCTGTTGCCTACCTTCTATCAAAGCACTGAAATTCAGTGTTTACTAGAATGTGGCATTAGAAAGTTCATCGGAGTTACTAAGAAGTTTGAAGTCCAAGTAGTTAGGCTGCAGAATCATAGTTTCCAGAAGGCTGTGAAAACTAGATGGTGTTTACCCCAAGAGCAAGTCACACAAAGTCAGACACTGCATGAATTCAATTTAGATTAAGCAAGCCCAGAACATGCGTCCAGTGTTGAGAACCCACAACTGGAAATTAATGAGACCTGCACGAGTTGGACTAGGATTGCAAGCTACAGTAGCTCAAGGCATCACCTATTATGCCTTACTGCTTTCATACATTTTATAATGATTTGCAAAATATAATGCTAGAAATAAAACACATGCAGTTGTGATATAAAGTTAATAGAATTACATTTTTTAGCACATGAAAACAGAAAATAACTAATTTCTAAGTTCACTAAGCCCCAGCACTACCACAGAAATCAAGTGCAATGTCTTGCACTATGTTACAGGCATGAACATAATGTTACTGAGCTTAACTTTCAGAGACACTTTTGTCTCTTCAAAGACACTGACACTTTGAAGAAAGGAGACAAAAACAATGTCACAGAAAGAGTAAACCTTGCTGTTGTCCTCCCTCAGTTTTCAGTGTGCACATGTACACATGGGAAATCATTTATTCCCAGCTGCGCCTATGATTTGGTTCTATGTAAATGTCAAGAATCTTATCTATTGACCACTATAAATCAGTGTTCCTGCCACCCCATCATGTCTCAGTAATTTACAAAAGCTGATCATGGCCCCAAATTTTTTCTGATCAAGTAGTTGATGGTACAGACTTACCTTTCCCATATTTTTATTTGCCTAGAAAACATCACCTACAGACTTACGCTGGTTTTATTCATGTCTTAGAAATGTCGGCTTTGATGAAAGATTTTTCCATTACTCTGTGTTTTAGTGGGGAAAAAACCCTACAAACCAAACAGATTTATTTCCTTTTCCAGGAATTGACAAATACAGTGTGTCTTTAAATAAAAATTCTCAAATCAGGTTAGAAGTACAAACAAGTTAACTCAAGTGCAGCTTGTGTTTGTTTTAAATTAGGTTTTAACTTTAAATTCCATTCCAGTAACTTCTGTGTCCTGCAAAATAAGTAATTAACTACTGAATTCTTATCACTAGCTGTAGGTACTGACTTGGAAAATTTAAGTCTTGGGTAAAATGCACATAAATCTACTTTTTTACTTGAAGATGTATACCTTTTATACTGTAACTTGAAATAAATACCAGCATCCCTTCACAATGTCTGCACAAGAACAGCATTTTAATTCCAGCAAGAAAACCACTCAGTGTCAATTTTGCTCTTTTCTAATTCAATTCTAATTCAAACAAAAAAGTAACGTAATAATTACTGTCTTACTCATCAAATAATAGCCTCAGAATTCTCTTGTGGGTTTTGGTATGGACTACCTCCATAGTTTAGCAGGCAGGCATGTAAGTATTTTTTCACTGTTAGCTCTGTAATGAAAGTTAGCCTTTTATGGTACATAGTTAACTAAGGTATTTCCTGCAATCTAAATATGATAAACACTAGATAAAAATCAATATTTCAAGATACACTATTATTTATATGCAGAGTAGCTATATGCTCATGATAATGCTATGGTATTGCAATATGGTAGAAAACCTCCATTCATAAAAGCCAAGAAAGTATTTCACACCAGAACAATATCCTCAAACTCCTTTAAGATATTACTATAATCCTGTGGTCCTAAAGCTGATAGTGAGCTTCACAGGAACTAGAAAGAACAGAA